TCAGCCACACCATTTGTACAATTTTAAATCCCTGCCTCCCAGGAATGCTTTTGATCAAATATGATTGATATCCAGTGCACAGTTCTACAGAAGAAGTCGTTTGTAGCAATATAGCCAAATTGCCCCCTTTTGGCCCCGCCCCTAAGCCCCCTGAAGAGTCAGCCCCAACATTTGTACAATTTTTAATCACCACCACCTAGGGATGCTTCCAGTCAAATATGGTTGATATCCACTTCTAATTCCAGAGAAGAAGTCTCTTAAAGCAATATGGACAAATTGACTCCTTTTGGCCCCGCCCCTCAGCCCCCTGGGGGGTCAGCCCCACCATTTGTACAATTTTGAATCCCCACCACCTAGGGATGCTTCCAGTCAAATTTAGTTTAATTCCAACCGGTGGTTAAGAAGAAGAAGTCGTTTAAAGAAATTGTCGACGTACGGACAACGGACGGACCAAAGTGAGCTAGTAAATAATCGTGTAAGGAGAAGTTAATGAGACGACCCACTTCAGATCAAGAGGACTTGTGTCTATGTATACATTGCTGGGATCACATAAGGTCAAGATGGCTGTATTGTGTGTATGAAACTTAAAGGTCAAGTGGAGGTACTTACAGCCTCACCAAGTACTTCAACAGTAGTAGTAGTAGTACGTTAGTATGTTTCATACAGAACCATAAGTCTGCTAATCAGAGGGGAGTCGCTTTTAGGGAGGACTCATGATCAGTACAGCATGATCCTTACCGCTCCAGAAAAAATATAGATGGAGGTGCTACATACAGACCTCTTTGATTTAGGTTCATAATTAATTTATCTATATGTCACTTCGGAATGAGAAACACTTCAACTTAGTCATTCTGATCATAACAGGGCAATATGTAATTGGGTTCAGTTAGAGATCAGAGTTTGTGATATACGCCATTATAAATCTAGATTATAAAGTACTTGATTATTCCAACGAAGATGTGTTAAGCTTGAAACAGATAATTATAACATTATTTTCAGTACTTGAGTTTAATGATTTAAAAACCACAGTGTTAGTCAGTCAGTGTGGTTTATGATGACGTCAGTCTGTCCAGGTGTGTACATAATACACTGGTTGGTCACCTACAGCTTGTCATCCTAACAAACCTGTAGGCTGTGGTCATCAATCACCCAGTCCAGACTCACCTTGATAGGAAGTGTGCAATCGTGTGATCAATAACAATGGAATTTCCTATGTATCCTGTAAATAAACCCCCCAAACCGACATGTAGCGTCGATGACAAGATAACTTTTGAGAAAGTACGACTGGTGCAAGGCTAGAAATTGGAAAAAATCCAAAAGAACTGACAAGCAGACAGGGATACTCAATTGAAATGTGGCCACATAAATAGGGTGCACTTACGTGTATGATTTGGTTTAGTCCGACACCCAGGGTTGGTAGCATTTATGCCATGGTCAGTGAATATTTCTACATTAATACAATGAAAAGTAAATGATTGGCTAGGATTTTTTTTTTCTATTTGCCTCCTGGCTGATAGTCTCAAGTACAAAAAAATATATACCCTTTTCTAACCCTCTGAAATATAATCTTTATTACACATTATCAGACTTGTTTATGATGAAACCTCAATATTTTTTTCATGTTACCACAAAATTTAGATCTAGACGATCTAAATCTGGTCATGACAGAATGTGGGATTTCAAAACGTTGTAAATTGACAAGTGTTTTGAAGTTATCATTTGTAAATGATATTCCAGAAAAACACTAAAATAGATACATGTACATGTACTGATTCAATTTTTTCACCCACTAGGTAGATTGTCACATATCACCTGTTTTATATCATTAGAGTTCACAAATAATACAGAACGATTCACATTATACATATATTAGTAGACAATTTATTGGGTCATGACACAAAATATAGTACAATGTTCATGAAAAATGTAACTGATTCAGAATCACATAATCCAGACTTGTCACCAGCCCTAAAGCTTCCAACTAACTTATTATCTCCCTCACGTTTGTATAGGGAACATCCAAGTGATCAAAATAAACTGGTCTAATTTTTATCTAAATAATTCAATATTCTACAATCATATGGTGCAATGCTCATGCATATGATACAAATACATTATACGGATTTATTGCACAGGATATCCGATATGGCACAATGCTCATGATAAATGCATATACATGTATTGTACAATATATATCATGGTACAGTGCACATCACAATCAATACAGTACGTCCCTTGGTTATAATACAGTTAATATACTCTGATAAATTGTGCAAATTGCATCCTCCTTTGGCATAAAATTTCTAGATTTAGGACATATATTCATCATGTGTATAGTGTTTATATTGATAATAATCCCATATCAAATTGAAGCAAAAAAATAACAGGGCTTGGGACTTCAAATATATTAAACTGGTGGACAGTATTGCCTACATCAATGGGGCCTCATTTTTAGATGAAATGCAGGAGTACTTCCAAAGAGTCGGAGATACCATACCCAATACATACCAACACCCTGTGACCTTGTTTTTATTAACTTATTCACCCCTGAAATTTCATAATGAACTATTCCAAACTTTGAATTGGAAGGGTTCAAATGTGTCTTCAGGGATGATTGAGTCAAGTATCCCTAGCTGAACTATTGGACTCAGAATTAAAATTTCTATACTTTCTCTCTGTTATTTTCATTTCATGCATATGTGTACAGAAAAAGACATGTGCAAAAAGTGATAACTGTATCCAGGGTTACCCCATGATATAAAACATCAAATCAATATCATTAATTGATAAACATTTTAAAAACTGTAAAGAGGACCGATACATATACTATACCCCTAATTGTGTGAGTCCAACACATGCCTACCTCAGGCTACCTGCACACTGTGGTTCACACACTGACAAACTTTTCCATTCCAGACCTCTCGGTTGATTATAATTAGTATCAAACAATGTATAAAATAATGAGTTAACTTTGCCAAAAACTTTAAATGCTTATTGTCATAACAGAGGACTAGACTGTGTGGCTTAATTAATCATATTATACTCATATAATGTAAAATAGTATTTATGTGTAGTGAATTTATTGGTGTTCCGATATTAAAATTCAATTTAGTCAATTCATAGTCATTGTAGCTTATGGCCAGGTTTTATCAACTGATCATGATTTTCACTGATTTACCATGCAGTGATTGATAAAATAAAAAGTGATGTAAAAATAATACACTGTATCAATGAGTTTATCAACACATCGGCTGAAGTGCTTAATTCATACAACTGTACATGTGAATCTTTGGATGCAAACGAAAATATTTGTTCCAAAATCTTGCTCTCTAAAATAAGGGCAAGTGAATAGAAAAAAATTGCAAATCACTTTTACAAAGGTTTTAAAGAGACAGCGTTTCAGATATTAATAGTGCTTGTATAAGATCAATAAAAACAAATTAGTATAGGTACATGAACACATTTGTAGGGTTATTGAAAAGACTGATTTTTTCATTTAACGATATGATTAAATATCATTAGTCAATCCACAGGGGAAAAAGATCCATAGGAAACAAACTGGACAATAATCCATGAAGGACAAAAAGGATACAAAAATTAATAGAAAATATGGGACAAACAGGATACTTGATCCATAGGGGACACACAGGACAATAATCAATGGGGACAAACAGGAAAATAATTGTAAAAGCAAATATGGGACAAACAGGATAATGTTCCATAGGGGACAATAGGGTATACGGTAATGATCCATAGGGGACAATAGGGTATACAGTAATGATCCATAGGGGACGATAGGGTATACGGTAATGATCCATAGGGGACAATAGGGTATACGGTAATGATCCATAGGGGCCAATAGGTATACGGTAATGTTCCATAAGAGACAAACGTATCAATAACTAAAAGGGGACAAACAGGATATAAATAACACATATTAGACAAACATGTAGCCGAACTGGACTGGGTCAATCGTCGGCGGTCAGATAGCCCAATTGGTAGAGCATCCGTCTATAGTTCCAAGGGTCTCGGGTTCGAACCCCGGTCTGGCCGTGCATTTTTCATCTCCTGTTAAAAACGGGATAATGATCCATAGGGGACAAACATATTTATAACCCATATATAGGACAAACAAGATACTAAACAAATAGGGAACAAACAGGATAATGATCCATAGGGGAGAAATAAGATAGTGATCATTTGGGAGAAATAGGATAGTTATTTTTTGGGAGAAATAGGATACTTAGTGATCTTTGGGGAGAAATAGGATAATGATCAATAAGTGAGTGGGTTAACATAGAACAGACATAAAGTTATTCCCATAGTTATGTTCACTGGGCAGACAAAGGGTTGATGATCATCCATGGGGAGACAGTATGTGATCCATAGAAGGAGACATTTAGATAATGTTTGGAATTTTTTGAAATGATGCGGAAAGCAAGTGGCACTCAGATTTAGAAAAGTTCATTGTTTAAAAGGGCTTAATTTCATGTAATTTGCAATCCACTAACTTCGAAATATTTTGTCCTGCAATGACCTTTAATTTGTGCTTTAAGTGTCTGTACCGATTCAACACTACTAAGTGACTTCCAAATACTTGTGATAATGTAACACATTTCAACATCTGAAATTATTCTTATTATCATAATTATAAGGTTAGCCTATGATACAACTTATAACAAATTATCAAACCAATAATTATAATTTTAAACGAAACTTGCAGAAATATCCATTACTAGTTGTAAACAGTTCAGTCAGTTGACAATCAAGTTTTTTACCCAATGTACTTTTCGGTCTATATAATTTGCCTGATGTATTAGTGTAGCATAATCTTTAAGTATAATGCTGTAACCAGAAATGTTATTTTGTCTTGTCCGTTTCAATTGAAAACCTTAAACTTTCCTTTCTGGTGGCTACTGTAAGTTTGTAAATTGTAGGCCTGGTTAGTATATCCGACAGGTGCCCGTACCTCAATATTGCTATAAATTGTTGATAGCTAGTACTGCTCTAACAGGGACAGTTGTATCGTTAACGTATGACACGAATATACACGTTGATACAAGAATATTATTTTTTTAAAAACATAACTTGATGGTATGAGATACCTGACTTAGTATCGAAACAGACTGGACACAGGTGCACCTGTCGTCTGGGCACTAATCATTGCCAACCATTGCACTCGGACTTACGAACGAGGACCAAACAAGCATTCTCTTTATATATACATTCTGATACTAAAACAAAATCTTACTAGCTTCCCCACACTCAGCACACGTGTTATTTCCTGGTATTGCCAGCAGGTTCAACAGCCGATGTCTATTCGTGTCCGCCATCTTTGATATGGGATATTACTCATTTCTACTACCGCCTTCTAAAAATAGAAAATAAATTCTAGGGTATCCCGCTAATGACGTCACGTTTACGGAAGGACGTGAATGTGTGCTTCGTCGTAGTTGTAGGATCGAATCATGTTAAGCAGCCTTCAAAATGTGACTAATCGACAACAAATCAGGTATCACAAGTACTATTCTTACAGTAGTGCTAACACTAGTACTGTGTTAATATCTTTTAACAATATAAACCTAGCGCCGGAAGGAAGCTACATGGATAACAACTCGTCCCGACTGTTAGATGTTTTATAGAAATGTGACAGCTGTTGAGACATTTCGCCCACAATTATCAACAATCAGATGTTTAATCTCCCCATTAAAATTAACCTATATGTAATGTCTAGTCATTTGTCTAAGTTGTACTAAGGCAGTGATAATGTATGCATCAAGCCTCAGTTGAGTTTCTATTTCCTAATCTATGACGATGTAATTTTATAATTAAGCAATTTAATTAGCAGTCCAATTATAAATACTCAATACTAAGTTATAACACGGAATAATCTAAGTCCGTGGTTATAATAACATAATACCTGAAAAATTCAGATACACTGACTAAAAGTGCTACAGTTGCAGGTGCACGTGGTTGAAACTAAGGCACGGTTTTCCTCCAGTGCCTAAAACTGTAATCTGCGATTTCATCGTGTTTATCCTAGCTGCCATAATATTGGCCTGTGTCACAATATATGTAATCTCTGACTAAGTATGAGGTAAGGTGTATCACAACTTGAATAAAATTTGACAACTTGGACAGAGCTAAGAGCCAAATGGAGTCAGAAACAATGGAACGTCATTTCAGATCAGATCAGTATGACAGTAATTGATCTTTAATTATTCTGATATAGCCATCGCTTGTTGGTGGTGTCTCATTTTATAAATATTGCTAGTTATAGCCTCGATACTCCACGGATGATGCTCCAACTTAAACTCTCTGCACCCCTGGAATATGTCATGAAAAAATGGAAGGCTCAGTGTGTGCCACCTCATATTGTGGATAAGACAAGAAGACTTGTTAGATCCTTTGATGTACATCAAAAGAATCTTGAGGTCACAAGAAACAGTATAATTGACTGGCTTTGAAGTTGTGCATGCTCCTCTGTAATCTTCACAGGACAGGTATCAGTTTAGTGATTGGTCATAAGCTATATCATGCCTTCAATATTGCCATGACATACTCCAGGGGTTACCAGAGAATTTGTAAGTGAGCGTAATGCTACAATATTGAAGATTATTTGGATACCTTTTTTAGACACAATGCTGAAAATGAGGTAAAATAACACAAGAATGACTAGCACAGAGAAGCAGGAGGAGGAGAAGGGTACCTGCAGGAGCCCAGGAAATGAAATTGAAGAGTATGTAGTTTAAACTTCTTTATAAGCATAACCATTGTGTTTGCTCTAAATTTTGAAAACAGTATACCAGGAAATGTACATGTTCGCCCAGGCAAAACTTCGCCCTACACATGTGAAATCAAAATTCGCCAAGTGTTCATTTTCTCCTTTAACATTTAATTACTATGTAAATTATGATGTTGAATAATGTTCGCAGTAAAGATGAATTCGCCCTCATTCTAGAGGTTGAAAAAGGCGAAATTTAAACTGTAGTGAACATTTCCCAGTATACAGTGAAGTATTTAGTGCAAGAAATAAATAAATTTGTGACTTTACAAGTAAAGAGCCACCATAAAACACACAATTTTCCATCTTGAGATAATTTGGTTCATAGCTTTCAATGATAGCTTTAAATTATATACTGTATAATGCAAATCCTAGTGCGATAATACGTCGGAGACAGTCTGAACTTTACTAGAAGAAGAAAAAATAAACAATGCATTAGGGCATCTGCACTTTTGTAGAAGAAGAAGAAGAAGAAAAAAAATAAACAATGCATGAGGGCCTGTTTGTTACATGCAAGTATTACTGAGCCTGAATAATTTTAAATATATAGTCTTGACAAAGGAATAATTTAAAATTGAAGTAACTATTATCATATTGTTTAATTGCTTATAGCATTACCTATAGTATGCTACTTGTTACTGGTAACAATTTAATTTGTGATACTGTATTACAATGTAACTTTTATCCAGAGATGAATACAGCTTGAGTGTGTTTGACCTGCCTTGGGAGGATGTTCTCTTCAGAAGTATACTGTCTTATCTCCCCCTTACAACACTGTTCCAGTTCAGAAAAGTTTGCAAGATTGCAAAGGAAATGGTTGCCAATTATTTCTCCCAGACAAAGTACCTAAATCTGTGTCAGGTTGCATTTCGTATGACCTCAAGTGCATTCCACATAATGACAGACAATAACTTTAGCCTGGAAGTAATTGTGATGAGAAATGCCAAGGACTGGCTGAGTAACGACCTGTTTCTACCTCTAATACACAACTCACACAGGCTTATCAAGGGAGACCTCACAAACTGTCAGACCGTCAACAATGTCTGTTTACAGGTAGGTTAAACTTTTAGTAATGGGTAATGTATATAACCTACAAGTTATTTGTTGTAATATATAACATGTATTACATATACTGTATTTATTGGAAACTTCTGTAAATCACCCTGCGTCTGTGGTCCGTGGTCCGCCCGTCGCCCGTCATCATATATAATTTGATAAAAGATCCCTCCAGTACTTCCTGAGAAATAGCCATAACAAACCTTCACAAACAAAATCCAAGATGGCTGCCTATCGGCCATGTTGTTTATTCGATGAGTCTCAAGAGTTGCCCTGCACAACTAGGGACCAAGAGGAACCTACTTCTTAAGAAATAGCGATAACAAGAATTGGTTAAGGACGGACCACGGATGCAGGGTAATTTGAATAGCCCATCATCAGATGATGTTGGGCTAAAAAGTACCTGGTATATCTATATATAACACCAGCTTACTTCTGTTTAGGCTCTGTCATCTACCTGTAAGAACCTGCGAGAGTTGTACTTGCGGGACTGCCATTGGGTCAGTGTTGAAGGCATCAAAGCAGTCTCCCTCAACTGTAAAAACCTTGAGAAACTTGACTTAACTGGATGCTGGGAAGTCAATGACAATGCTGTAGTTGTCATAGCAATCTATTCCCAAAAGTAAGGTCTTACTTAAATGTGCTTGAAGTTTTGTAGATGTACTGTACAAGAACAAAATCTGAGTTACATTTACAATCCATAATGTTGAGTTTACATGTATTATGAACAAATCAATGTTCAGAACTACAAATAAAGCAGACCAGTCACAAGAAGATACCTAATTGCTCAATTTTTGGTATTAACTCTTTTTTCATCATTAAGAACAGATTATCATATTAATAGTGCTTAGAAACATAATAGTCTTATTTTTGCTATTTGTATCTCTTCCATAATTTCCATATATTGAACAGTATGATCAGTAAATACTCATCAGATACAGGGAATCATTAAACCAGTACTGTACACACTGAAAGAAAATAACACATACCAATTACTAGGTTTATGAATTTTTACATTTACACTATAAGGTACATTGTACTACAGCTGTGATGTATTTGTATGTTTTTGTTATTAACGTAGGCTGAAGTACCTATCTGTTGCCAAGATCTACGGTTTAACAGATCACGCTATCAGTTCTTTGGCCAAATCCAGCAAGTCGTTGGTACACCTTAATGTCCAGGGATGTTGGAGACTCTCGGACGACTCTATTAGGTCAGATGGATTACTAATATAAAACTTTAAATACCTTTTAAGTTTTTGGTTAAGAAAAAACAAAAATCATTTCATCTTAAATAGGAAGTATAAATCATATGGCTTCAAAACAATACTCTTATTGTTTCCCATGCTTATGATTCAAAGAGATCCATTCCAAACAAAGACATACAGTACATCTGTAACGTTTGCTTATACAATATCAACAAATACAAAATAATCAGAAATCTCTAATTACTTTATTCAGAGACCTTGCAGAGTACAGCCGGAGTCTGAAAGTGCTACAAGTGAGGGAATGTCGTGATATCACCGAGGGAAGTTTGGCACGTTTACGTGTGAAGCAAGTCAAACTTGATGTTAGACCTCCACCTCATCTCCGGAACTTGAATGCTTTACACACACTGAATCAAAGACTTAACGTTCAAATATGAAACAGTGTGTTCAGGGAATATCAATCAACAATTCAATAATCTAGTGGTCAAAAAGTAGGGAGATCCTCGTCCGAATCACTAGCCTCGGAACACTCCAGGAGGTCAGCATTGATCACACGACATTTCCTCCTTACTGACACCACTGTATCAGCTGGTGGTGTAAGGGGAGGTGACTCTGATCCTGTGACAGCATTTCCTGTTTCATGTTGAGGAGAACAAGTAACACTGTATGTTTCTGTAATGTAAAGATGTAAAGTTTATTATGATTTAATTTTATTATTTATTAATTCTGAAAAATATTGAAATTTCAAAAAGCTCATCTCATGATCTGTATGATGGACAGATGGATTATGATCCCATCCATATCCACAATGGGGACCAAAAAATATAAATATTAACACAAATCATATTTGCATTTGTGATGCTTATTCATAGCATACACCTACCAAATAAAGCAATGCATTATAAACATAGAAAACGGTGACTTTCTGGATACACCAACTTTACTGCAAAAGTAGGTCGGAGCCGAAAATGTGGAGTCTTCAGAATCATGCAAACTTTTATCAATGTTCATCATTGAGAAGGATTCTGGCATGCATGACATCTGGGTCACAGTGACCTGTATCTGTATCTCAATTACATACAGTATTACCAAGTTGATAGAGGTGGGTGTTGCAATTTTGGAAGTTGAGTGAGCAGTGAGAAAAGTTCAAATTTGCAATGAATCCAGGTGTGAATTGATTTGTTTAATGCATGGAAAATGGCTACAGTTATGTCGTCAGAAACTGAGAAAACTTTGGCTGATTGACGTGTGATGTGTGATCTTGTGACAAAGCATAGGAAAAAAGCTGGTTGTAACTCAGGATGAGTTAAACAGGAGAGTGCGCCACTCAGTGCTTCCTTTTGTGATGTTGACCCTGTCCTGTTATATGACCGGAGTGAGAATTTGTTTATGGGGTTAGACATAAATATGATATGTCTTGTATCAAAATTTTGATCATTCAAACATTGTACGATTTTTGATGAGCTTTCATTCGTGTCAATGCATGCATTGGTTCAAAATCAATGTCTGCCAATTAAATATTTGTTAAGTTTCATTCCCGCTAGATGATAAATCTAAGCAAAAAGGCAAAAAAAGATCATTTGATTCTGTCATGGTTAGTTCTGATAAATTGTCTTTTTGTTGTTGTAATAAAAGTATTTTTTAAATATTTTTTACACAAAATACAATTATATTGTCAAGTTTAACAATGCTAAGTGACATTTCAGCAGCTGTCACGTTTGTTTACATTGGATATTGTAGTTCCGGTCTGTGTTGTATTAATACGCTAAGAATTGTGTCTCGTGATGCGGCATTTACATGTAAAATCCCATCATCGATATAGTTCTCAAATTGCTTATATAGTGACAATGCCATGCAAATGTAAATATATGTATATCTATTTATTGCTTTAATTCAGACTTATTTAATATTGAACATTAAGACATGTATTTGGTTTAATTAAATAAAAATAGTTTACCTGAAATACATACCGTCTTAAAACCCTATTGTAGTTCAACAGACTACACAACAACCTTGCAATGTCACCACCAATTCATACAAACAAACTATCCTAATTCTTTCTGATCATTGTGGAAATGGTAGTAGTTATACAACATGTAGATAAGAACAACTTTTGGATCTTTTCAAAGTCTAAACTAGAACAAGAACAGGGCAGCAAGGGCTTCATCATGTGCCTTACTGTAACTGCTCACCCTCATGGTCATTTTTTAGTTACCCTGACCTTGACCTTTTGCACATCTACATATCACAGTGTATTCAAAGGAATAAGTTATGTTTATCTTAACCACATAGAGAAGATGAGCAGTTGCTGAGTCATCATGTTTACCTTGACTAGACATCAAAGGACTAGGCTGAAC